CTCCATTCATTGAGAAACAGAGAGCCAGGTCCCCAGAAGAGGATCAGCTCAAAGTTGTACTTGAGGCCACGGGTGAAGAAGACGACCTCCCCGAGGCCAGGCAGACGGAAGCGCAGAGGCAGGAGGGACTTATTTACCAGTGCCACCATGTAGTTCTGGAAGCGGAGGATGCGATGATAGATGTCTAGCTCCGTCAGCTCACGCTTGTGGATGCAGATCTGGTGCTCTTTCTGGGTCTGCACAATCCGGGCCTGCACTTCCTGCCACGTGCAATATGGAAGGGCAGACTGCAGAACAGAGTGGGGAAAGGACAAGGTATGGAAGGTATGGTTATTACCTGACCTCCTTGCCCTGCACAGATGAGAGACTCAGGGGTCATGTGCTTAGCTGAGTGGAGCCTTTCAGCAGAAGCTCCTTGACCTCCTACTAGTTTGGATCTCAAATGTCCCCCAAAGGCCCAGGTGTTTCTTTTTTTTTTTTTTTTTTGGGTACCAGGGATCGAACTCGGGTCCTTGCACTTGCGCAGCAGGCGGCGAAACCACTGAGCTAAATCCCCGGCCCAAGCCCAGGTGTTAATGGCTCGGTCACCAGCTGGTGGTGCTACAGGGAAGTGGTGGTATGTTTAAGAAGCAGGCCTAGCGGGAGGAAGTCAGATGATCAGGGGCATGCTTTGGAAGGGCATATTGGGACTTGGAACTCTGGCCCGTTCCTGTCTTTCTCTTTGTTTTTTGGCTGCTGTGAGATGAACAGGTCCTGTGCTAGTTGCTCCTGCCATGATGTATTGCCTCACTACAGGCCCAAAAGCAAATGAGACAACCAACCATGGAGTAAGACCTCTAAAACTGTAAGCCAAAATAGACCTTTTCTCTTTACAAGCTTATCTTAGATATTTTGTCACAGAAATGGAAAGGTAACTAGCACACAGCCAGTATGGTTATCAACAGGTGATACCCATGAATACATCTCATCCTTCCCAAGATGTCTTAGGATATGGTGCTAACACCCCTCTTCCAGTCTTACCATGGGGATTCGTAGAGCATGCAGGTAGAAGGAGTGGATCTCCCAATAGCAGCAGATGTTATAGATGAACTTGATAAGCCGGTGGATCCAGAAGACACCAGCGATGACCAGGATGGTGATAAGGGAGCCATTTTCTTGAATCCTGATCAGAGCAAAAGATGTGGGATGGCCCTTAATTAAGAAAGGGCTCAGGGCCGGGGATTTAGCTTAGTGGTTCCGCTGGCTACCTCGCAAGCACAAGGTCCCAAGTTCAATCCCCGGTACCAAAAAAAAAGGGCTCCTTGACATGTGCTGTTGTCCCAAAGGATTCCTATAGGTTGAGCCTCAGTCTGTGTTGTGAGGTATGAGTTACTGCCTCATGCTCCATTGCTTACCTGTTAATAAAACTACAGACTTCAGTGCCCTTTGACTTATAGCCTTACCTGGCACTACAGACTTGGGCAGGCAAAAAGGCATCTGGAAGAGTGACCTTGACAGGTTCAGTAGGATGCAAACTGTGGTTCACCATTTTGTTGGCAAATAGGATGTCGTAGTCCACACAGCTAACCAGGAAGGTGGTGAAGGCAACCACAAAGAGGAACTGCCTAGGGAGTTAGGAAGAGAGGGTAGTCTGAGGGTCAGAGAGGCACCAGTGAAATAGAGTGGGACAAGAGAAGAACCTGGAAGCAGCCAAACAAGATGGGAAATCGAAATGGGTGGAGAACTCTTAAAAGGCTCTCTCTGTTGCTCAGCCTCACAGGACCTTTTTAGGCCCAAATTGGCTCCTAGTTTTTGCTGTTAGCCTCAAACACCATGGTATCAGCTTGTTTTCTTCACTTCATGGTAATCTTCCACTCCCACCATCACCACTGGATTCAACTTACAGAGGTTTCATGATTATGGTCTCTCGTCTTCCCTTTCTGATACTTTTGAGAAGGCAGTCAGAAGCCCTTTCAGATAGGAACTCCTTTCTCATTGAGGGAGGGCTTCCCAACTCCTTCCCCTTTGGCAGTACCATAAAGCTCCTCCCTCCTAGAAGGCTGCTGCCCAGCAACAGGCCTAAGGAGCAACCAAAGCAGTATAGAGGCTCTTTCTTCAAGTAAAGGGCTGCCATCTCTCAGACAGCCTAGCTGGACCATGTACATCCCACTGAAGCTCTGACAAAATGATCAACATTTGAGTTCTCTTCAGGGAAGAGATGGGATTTGGAAAGGTCTTCTGTAAGAGGTGAGGCTGTATGTTTTGGTGCTACACAGAGTCCAGAACTACAGAGGTTTTGGAGCATTTTGAGCCTGCTATGGTCAGTGGGGCCAGATATTGGCACAAGGAAAAGAAAGACTGAGATGTATTCCTTCACCACATTATCCATCCCTTCCCTTTCACATACTTACATGAGCTCAAAGATCTCCCCAATGAGCATACACGTGAAGCCATTCTTCTGGTGTAGATTATAAACGTGAACATGTTAAGAAAAAGTGGTCAGAAAGGAGCAATTAAGAACATAGATTTTGATGTGACACATTCAAGCTTAAGTCCTGGTTCTGTGGTTTTCTAGCATGTGATTTTAAGCAAGTTACTTAACCTCTCTAAGCTTCTGTCCACAGTGATAAATTAGGGATGGTAATACCGGTCTTATCCAAGAAAATGCATGCAGAGTATTTAACATAGAACTGACAAAGAATGAGTCAAAAGACATTAATTATTACCATGATTAACATCCCATCAGAAAAGAGTATCACCCTTAGAAATTCTGCTTAGAAATCAGCACCACAAATCGCACACAGGCAGAGGTCTTAGTAAGTGTGCAGTATCATTATTATTATTATTTTTTTTTTTGGTACCGGGGATCAAACTCAGGTCCTTGTGCTTGCGCAGCAGGCGACGAAACCACTAAGCTAAATCCCGGGCCCTGGTATCATTATTTTTAACAATCATTATTTCACTATCCTCTTTCAGCCTCAGGATGTTATTTCCCCTTCCAGGGATTAGAGTTCAACCTACTCCAACTTCCCCTCAGGGACCTGGCTCAGGGAGGGGCTAAAAGTCCCAGAGTCCACCACAGGGACGCCAAGGATATTCGGGAGAAGAAGAGGTCAAGGTTTTCAATATGGTGCCAAGGTGCTGTGAACAGAGGAACAGAAATATCAGAGCCCTGAAGGAACAAGAGCCTTTGGCTCCCTCCGTGTGCCTCCATCAACTTTCCCCATGCCCCAACAACTCACACTTGCTTCCCTCAGCCACGTGCACCAATAGGTCCTCTTCCCCAGGGGGTGAATCGCTGTAGGAGGCCTCTAGGCGCTGGTATTCGGTGTCAAACTGAGCCATCACCGCCTCCCCCTGTCCACCTTGTCCACCTGCCAGTGATGAGGAAGAAGAGATCCTGGTTTAGACCCATGGGCTGCTCACCTGCTGCCCTGCCTACTACACCTTGGGTTATTAGAGGAGGAGTTATTAGCCAAAGAGAGCAGTAAGCTTGGGGGTTAGGGGCCCCTTAACTCTGGTCATCATTCCCAGAGCCTTTACTGGGTGTCTACTGATGCCTCCCTAGCCTGTAGCCAGAATCTGCCCCTTTGGTGGGGGTGGACTTTTATTTTTTCTATTCAGTGGAAGAAAAGTTCCCTCTCTTTCCCCTCCTGGAAACCCTGGTCTCCCCTGAGACTACCAGTTTGAAGGTATTTTGTAAACAAAGGTTTAAGACAAGCATATGGCCCTACCAGCTCCATGGACAGTTTCTGCTCCACTCCAGCCCTCCACGACCTGGCTTGACAGCTGCTGGAGGAGAAGGTGTCAGGCCCCAGAGAGTGGGGAGTGGAGACAGAATCCCACACAACCCTTCCGCCAACCAAGTACCAAAAGGAGGGGAGGGAGGCCACAGGGAAGAAAAAGCACCTTCCCTGCTAGGGCTATGAGACCCCTCCTCTGGCTGTACTATACAGGACCACTCATCCATCTCTAGGATACCAGGGAGTAACTTACTGACCCTGTGGAGACTGAGTCAGTACAGGCCAGAGAATGGGTGTCTTCTCTGGACTGTCTCCATTGCTCTGCTCCAGTTTTAGAAATTAGACATGGCTCTTAGGGTGCACAAAACCCCGAAGAGGATCTTTCTGGTCAACCCCTTCCCCTGTTTACTTAGCACCAAAGACCCAGTAGACAGGGTCTGCATAGGAAATTACAAGTCAGTGGGAAGCCAGATCCTGGGTGAATCTGTGGGTTCCCTCGATCCCTGCAGCCAGGCAGGGTCAAGGTGCTACTCACCCAGACAGTGCAGACCCTGGGAACCGTGGGTCTTGGCCTCACATGTCCCCAGTGGGATTCACTGGGTGAGTGAGAACCCTGTCTCTCAGGATTCACCACTCACTGGGTCAGGGTAGACCCAGGGCCCAGGGATCCTCCGCAAGCAGGGCCTGGCTCATGGGTTCCTGCGGATGTTGGAGAGGTCGATACTCCCGGTGGGCTGGGTTGCCTCCCCATACCCAGTCGGCGGGACGAGCACAGGGCACCCTAGGGTCACCCGGCTCCGGGCCGAAGAAAGCTCGGCTCCCAACAGCGGTCTACCTCGTGCGCGGCCCCGCCACCCATGCGCGCCCTCGTCCACGCGCACACGCTATCAAAACATTCCGATTGCGCGCCCCCGCCTCAACCGAGGCTCCCCTTCCCCCGCTACAAGCCGCCTGCTCACTTGGTCTCCGTGGGCACCCCGGCCAGGTCCGACCTTGGGCCCGGGATTTCAATACCCAGTCTCGCGTGTCACCTCAGGAGCCGCGACCCCGGCGATTCCAGACTCTCGGTCTCTTCGGCTTGGCTCGGCGGGATCTAGAGTGCTAGGCCCGGCGTCTGCCACTCACTGTCACCCGCAGCTAGCCTGGCCTATGAACATAGTGGGGTGGAGACACGACGGCCAATTCTCGGCTCAGGAGGTGGGATGAAAGGCTCGGGCCGGGGCTTTGACGTCAGAAGACCAACCGTGTGCTTTGGGTGGGGCGGGGCTCGGGTGCGGGCGTTGCTGTTTGTCCTCTTCGCGACTCCGTAGTGACGGGATTGTTGTGGTGTTGCAGAAATCTGACTTTCGAATAGGCTTGCGTCGGGGCCCTCGGGAATTTTGTTGCAGTTTCTGAGGGCGGGAGCGAATCTGCGGCTCAGTCGTTGCTGTACCTTATCCCTCGGGTAACGAAGGTCGATTAGGCAGCATCAGTGATTAACTCAGTGAGTCAACTCTGTGGGACTCGATTTGGAGCTGGGCGCTCCCTCGTTCCACTTTTGGGGTCTGAAACCAGGGGTTTGAAAAAATGAAGCGTGGTCACCTGTTTACCGTAGAACTGACTCCTAGTGGCAGGTTGAGGGCCAACGGGTCTTGTAGGTAAGGCAGACATAAGTGGCAGTAGGATCTCGCTCTGGTGGGCTCTACAGTATTTGTAACTCCCGTTGTGCTCCAGGAGCTGCTTCTAAGTAGTTCCGGCTCAGACATGTCGCCAGCTCCAGATGCCCCTCCAGCTCCTACGTCCGTCTCCCTGTTTGACCTCAGCGCTGAAGCTCCAGTCCTTCGGGGCCTGAGCCTGGTGAGCCAGGCTCCCGGGAAAGCTCTGGCCAGACCTCTGCCTACTTCCTGTCCAGGTATCTGGGAAGATTTGGGATGGATCGATAAGGAGTAGGGCTCACTGGAACATATTACTCCTCCGGAGAACACTCTTAACTGGTATTTAGCAGCTCAGGAGCCCAGTTGACTTCCCTTCCTGCTGGATACAGTTTTTCTAAAAATTCATTTCATCTCTGGGTAGTTTCCAGAATAGGCCTCTGAGTTGTCTCCAAACAAGTCTTTGGCTGTTGCTGTGCTTCATTAAATTAACATCACTCCCTTCAAAAGCACATCAGAATTCCTAGATATATTACAAATTTAAATGAAATCATCCCTTTGTACTGAATATAAAAGTTTATTACTGGTTTTGTAAAACTTTACATTTTCTTTCTTTCTTTTCTTTCCTTTTGGTACCAGGAATCGAACTTAGGGCCTCGAGCTTGCCAGGCTAGCGCTGCACCGCTGAGCTACATCCCCTGCCCAAAGGGTACTGCTTTCTTACATTTCTCTTTAGATTAATTGGAATTGTAAGCTTTAAAATGAAATTTAGGAAGTGGTTTTTATACAATTAAAATAAAGAGCTGGGGGTGTAACTCAGTAATAAAGTGCTTGCTTATGGCCCTGCAGCATTGCAAAAAATATAATAATGAAATAATTTCAGGGCTTACTGGGAAAGGAGCTGAAGCTTAGACACCTTTAAGGGACCTGGAAGTAGAGTGATGGTTTCGGTAAATGTGTGAAAATGTGTTTTGATATTCTCCCTGGACTTGTCTTCAAGGGAGCATGTTTGTTCATCCTGGCAGTGGCTTCTGGGTATATCTGCAAGTTCACTAATGGAGACAAGGAAAAGAGGGGTTGCCCACTGTCCATATCGGTGGAGTTTGCTGGAAAGAGATCTCTGGAATTAAGTGTTAACTGTGTCAGAGAGTTTGGTAAACACTGATTAAGGAAGCATTTTCCGGCTTAATGAAAAAATAACTCAGTTGTGGTCATTTACTCTTGTTACAAGGTTCTGCAGTATATTATGTAGCATGCAGTGTGTTGTGTAGTGCTTAATGAAATAAAATGGAAAAAATGATTTGGGGACTTGAAATGTAGCTGAGTGGCAGGGCAGTTGTTTAGCGTGAGATTCTAGGTTCGGTTCCCTGTAGTAGAGAGGGAAAAGAGAGAAAAGAAAGAAAAAATTTAGCCTTACTGTAATTTATTTTCTACAGGATTTTTCTGAACAATCTCTGGCTAATTTAAATACAGTACTTGATTTATATTCACTTTAAGTACATCCTTTCAGAAGCGTATTTATTGTAAAAAGTGATTGCTTTACTGTTAATTTCATGATTATTGGATTGTAAATCCCTTGAAGACAAGGTCATCCTATCTCTTATACTCTCCTCTTCTTTGTATATCAGACACTGAATGTAATTCCAGGCACTGTGGACTTGAGCTCCCTTTTTACCTCCAGTTACTCTTTCTCATTTAGGTTCAGGGCAGAAAGAAAGCCCAGAAAGAAAAGTAATCCAAGGTCCTTTGGATATTTCAGAGAAGTTATTTTGTTCAGCCTGTAACCAGAGCTTCCAGAACCACCAGGAACAGGTAAATGGCTGGTATAACATCTAGGCCATCTGGGGCCCGCTGTTAGAAAAGTGTGATGTGGGTAGGGAGAGGTAGACATTTGATTTGCCATAAGTTAATAAAAATCCATGCTTGCCTAAAGCAGTTGGTATTACCTGGTCGTACTTCCTGGAGTAGCCTTCACTTCTAGACAAGGCCAGGTTGGGACGTTTCCATCTTCTGCCTCCCTCTTTGCCTTTGTACCAGAGAGAACATTATAAGCTTGACTGGCATCGCTTTAATCTAAAGCAACGTCTCAAAGACAAGCCTCTCCTATCTGCCTTGGACTTTGAAAAGCAGAGCTGCACAGGTGATCCTGGTGGGAATAGGGTATTGGGCTGGAAGAAATCCCTAAGGAGTTTGAGGAAAGAGATGGAGTACCAAATTTGTGTGTCCCATTGTCTTCAGGAGAGCTTTCCAGCATCTCAGGATCAGAAGACTCAGACTCAGCCAGTGAAGAGAATTTACAGACACTGGGCAAGGAGAGGGCTGAATGTGAGGGGCCTAACCGACCCCGAAGCTTTTGCCCCCATCGGGTTCTTTTCCAGAATGCCCAGGGCCAATTTCTTCATGCCTACCGCTGTGTGCTAGGCCCTCACCAGGCAAGTGACATCACAGGTTGTGTGGTCAGCTCAGCTTTTTGTACATTTAGACCACATTTCTCCTCTGTCAGTCTGTTTCTCACTGCTTCCCTTCCTCCTTGTGGGTGTAGATATCACACTTGACAGCACAGTCTTGGATTGAAACTGGCCTAAATCTTGAAAGGGTCAAGTGTAATGGAATTAACTTTGGAAACAGACCATTCTCCATTTGAATTGTGGTTCTGCATCTTGATTTTCTACCACTATCTCTTCAAGCCTCAAATTTATTTCTTTGTAAAATGGAAACAAGGCTTGGAGTGGTTGTAATAAATGAGATCATGTATGTGAGGCACTTAGTATGGCACTTGCTTTCTTGCTGTCAATGAGTGCAACAGATAGAGTGTTTCTACTGTGTCTCTGTCATACAGGTTCCCCCAGATGAGGCAAAACTGCTGCTACAGAGCCTGCAAAATGGAGGTCCCAGACACTATGTGGTGCTCATGGCTGCAGCTGGGCACTTTGCTGGTGCCATTTTTCAAGGGTGAGAGGGTGCTGCATGGGGTAAGGATAGCATGGATTCTGTTAGTTGTGGAGCACCTGGTTGACTCTAGTACTGAGTCTGTGCTGTCTACAGAAGAGAAGTCGTGATGCATAAAACCTTTCACCGCTACACTGTCCGGGCCAAGCGGGGTACAGCCCAGGGGCTTTGGGATGCCCAGGGTAGGCCATCACGCTCTGCTGGAGCCAACCTGAGGCGCTACAATGAAGCCACACTACATAAGGTAAGTTAGGCCTCCTAGATGTGGTGATCCTAGTCACTTTTATGCCTCTCAATTCAACTCATTAAATGATACAATGGAGAGGTGCGGGACTTATATCCTCCCAATTTTCATTATTTCCGGGTAGACAAAGTAGAGTAGGGATGTCTAGGTGGTCTTTCTCTTTTTATGTTATCCTCTGTCTCTGACTCCCTGCAAATGGTCTGTGGGCCAGCTTTTGGTTAGAGGTTTTAAAACAGCAAAATATGCAAAGTGGAGTTATTTTCTTTCGTAGGACGTTCGTGACCTGCTGACAGGGCCAGGCTGGGCTGAAGCTCTGGAGCAGGCTCAGACAGTTCTGCTGCGTGCCCCCCATTCTGGCCGGTCCATGTTCTTCGGAGGCCACAGGGCACCCCTGCAAAGGGAAGACCCCCGACTTTGGGATATCCCCCTCGCCACCCGCAGACCCACCTTCCAAGAACTCCAGCGTGTGCTCCATAAGCTGACTACCCTGCATGTCTATGGTGAGCCTCTGAGGCTGGTCCCAAGATTTCCTAGCCCTTGCCTTGGTTCTCATGTATGTATCCAGAGGTTTTTCTAGCTCTTGTACTGAAGCCTGATTATAGTTTTGTTTTTGTTTTTTTTTGTTTTTTTTTGTTTTTTTTACGACAGTCTTGCTGTATAGTTTAGGCTGGCCTTGAATTCACTGTGTAGCCCAGGCTGGGCTCGAACTTGAGGCAATTTTCTTACCTCAGTCTCCCAAAGGCTAGGATTACAGATGTGCACCACCATTGCCAGTGTTTTTTTGTTTTGTTTTGTTTTGTTTTTTGAGACAGGGTCTCGCTATATAGTCCAGGCTGGCCTCAAACTCATAACGATCCTCCTGCCTCAGCCTCCCAAGTGCTGGAATTATAAGCGTACACCACCATGCCCAGCCCTGATGTTTTCATTGAGAGAAACCTGGGCTGACTTCTCCTCAGCTAAGTTTGACAAAGATTTTTTGTTTTATGGCAGGAGAAGACTTTTGGGAGACAGTCAGATTGCACTCACCTCAGGCACACAGGAAGACAGTGAGAAAAGAGAGGAAGAAGCCTATTGAGGAAGAAAGAAAAAGGGTCCTGAGTGATGAAAATGAGGCGCTTGGACAGAATGAAGAATCACCTAAACAGGGTTTGAGCAGTATCTGACAATTGTCAAATCTATCTGGGTGTCTGTCCTAGAAATGCAGTGGCAAATTTTCTTTTTTTCATAACTTACCTTTCTCCCAATTGATTGTTGGGTCCTCATACCCCCCATATAATACACACACACACACACACACACACACACACACACACACACACACACACACACACACACTCTGCAGTGTCTGTATCATTGCAATCACTGAGATGTGTTTAGTAACTTTCCAAATCTCCTATTACTCTTGGATATATCCCCAGTCCTTAGAAAAGTCCTAACATGGAGTAAATGCTTGAAAGTCTGGCATGAGTTTCACACTATTTATCTGTCTGATTGGGGGCTAAGGGATGGTTTCATGTTTTCCTCTACTGTGCACATCCTAAGGATGCTCATAGGGAGAATCCAGAGACAAATACAAACAATTTCACTTCCAGATGGTCTGGACTATCTCTTTATAGACATGAACCTATCAGAGGCAGCCTGTATCCTCCCACTCTCTGCTTATATCCTAGATGGATCTATCATGGCAGATTTCTCTCTAGGTTCAGAGACGGAAGATGAGCATGGCGCCCAGGTAGAGTTGGAGCTAGTGGAGCTGACACTGGGGACCCTGGATCTTCGTGAATTTGAGTTATTGCCCAAAAGGAGGAGGAGAAAAAGGAATAAGAAGGAAAAAGCACAAGACCAGGATGCTGGGGCACATGTGACTCTTAACCAGCAACACCAAGAAGATGAGCCCACCTCACAGTTAGCCCAAGTGGTTGCAGCCCCCTTGGGGTCTTCAGCGGATGAGGCCAAGGCCCCTGGTCAGCTAGAGCTCTGGGATGTGCTTCTAGCTGCTTGCCGAGCTGGAGACATTAGAAAGCTGAGGCTCCAGCTGACTGCGGGGGCTGTAGACCCTGAAGTTATGTCCCTACTCAATGCCCCCTTGGGCTCTGGTGGCTTCACCCTACTGCATGCAGCAGCTGCAGCTGGAAGAGGCTCAGTGGTTTGGCTGTTGCTGGAGGCGGGTGCTGACCCTGCTGTGCAGTAAGTGTCTCCCTCCTGAGACATTTTGGGTGTAGAGAGGATAATTTGGTGGCTCACATTAGCATTGGCAACTTACTAGTATTCCTTTTGTCTGACTCGGTAATGTTGGGAAAGGTAGGAGGCAAATTGAACTCATTTCTGAGTTTTTGTACCTAGGGACTCCCAGGCCCGGCCACCTTACACTGTGGCAGCTGACAGAGCAACACGAAATGAGTTCCGAAGGTTCATGGAGAAGAATCCAGATGCCTATGATTACGACAAGGCTAAGGTCTGCTGGAAAAGGAAGGAGATACAGAATGGGAAGGCACTGTAGATTCTGTCTAGATGTTTTCTACATGTAGTTTTACCAGAGATAGCGTGTGTGGATCCTACCTAATATCCTCTGAAATCACCCAGGTGCCAGGGCCACTGACCCCAGAAATGGAAGCACAGCGGGCTACACGGAAGAGGGAGCAGAAGGCAGCCCGGCGGCAGCGAGAGGAGCAGCAGCAGAAGCAGCAAGAGCAGAAGGAACGGGAACAAGAAGAGCAGCGGCGATTCACTGCCCTCAGTGACCGAGAGAAGGTAAAGCTTTATTTAACAGTAGCAGCATCTTATGAAAGGTAGAAAAAGAAACAGGCTCTGCAGAGCAAGTTTGGGCCATGTAAAAGTAGAAAAAGAAGCACACCCTCCACCGTGAGGGTGGGCCACTTTCACAAAGCGAGAACACAGGCTTCTGTAGAGGTCTCATCCCCTCCCAGAAGGCAGCTGTCACTTCTTGGGCACACTTATTCATCAGTGGGGCTTTGTACCTAACACAGCTTCTCTGTTTCTCAGAGAGCCCTGGCTGCAGAGCGCCGACTTGCTGCCCAATTGGGAGTCCCTGCTCCTCCCATCGCTGACTCTCAAGTGGCCAGTGCCTGGTATGGGGCCAAGAGCTGAGTGAAGGGGTGGACTCTTTAATGTTTTAAGGACCATTTGGGGCAATGGAACAAGTGCCAACTTGGTATTCAACAGGGATGCTGCGGGGATTTGAAGTACCTGGGAACCTCAGAGGGCTGAGGGGAGGTGGTATTGGAAAGTTTCTGGGATGAAAGTTTCAGCCATATTTCTTCCTCTTTAGGCGCTGCTGGAATTGTGGGGCATCACTCCAAGCCCTCATTCCCTTTCACTACCTCGACTTCTCTTTCTGTTCCACACGTTGCCTCCAGGATCATCGCTCTCGGGCTGGGAAGCCCTTTTCCTGATCTTTTACAGCTCCACTTGGCGTCACCTCTAGGCCTGGAGAGGACACATTTACACCCCTCTTCCCCATGACGCCAGACAGTATTTGGAAGAGCAGGGTAAGGACCATACAGGAATCAGGGCAAAGACAGGGCCACAGAGGTGTGTGAAGCTGGTACTGTCTCTGGGTCTTTAATCACAATAAAGTTTGGCAAGGAAACTGCACTTGTACTTACATTCAGAGGTGTTCTGGCCTTATGATCACCATGGCCAGCACCAAAGGATCCTGCCCACTCCATGCCCCATGTCCTAGGGTCACCTTTTTTTCAATGCCCACTTAACTCCATTGGTTCATAGGTACATTGTATGTCTGAGAGGGGATAACTGTACGTCCTACGCGAGGTGCTGTTGAGGATAGGTTTGTCCAAAAATTGGATTTGAGGCTGAGTAGGTACATTTTCTAGCTCCAGCAATGTGATTTTGTTGATGGCTCCCTTAGGAAACAGCAGAGGTCTTGGCACATAGAGGGTCTGTTGTGGCCCCTGCTTTGTCCAGTACCGGCCCAAGTTAAACCCATTGATCCAGACTTGGCCCTGGGAGAGAGAAAGATAAGAAAAAGAAAGGGTCAGCTCTCCAGAGGATAGAATTACCCCATTTTGTTTTTCTGATCTGTTCCCCTTCTCTACATGATTTTTTATCACCCCCACCCTGCCAACCACAACCATTAACAATACCTTGGTCCATCCAGGTAGATAGAGAAATGTATCGCCAACTGAGCCTAAAATTGGAAAAGTTGTGGAGTAGAAGGTGGGGCCAGAGGAAACTGTAGGCTGTTCTCTTTTCTGCCACTGGAGGGAAAACCACCATTTTACCAGGTTATCAATTTTCAGAGGGAACATCATCCACTGTGTAAGAATTGTTTCCCCCAGAATTGGTGGCTCTAACAGACCCTGTGGGGAGGAAAATTAGAAGTCATTATTCACTAAGCTCAATTGCCACGATAACCCTAATCAACCCCTGAGACATAACTGGTAGCCATGTTCAGGTCCCCGCAAGCCACTGCTTCCCTCTTCTAATTCCTCAGGGCACAGCTATACTTGATCTTTCATTAGGGCCTTATTTTTTCAAGGGAGATAGGCAATAAGAATAATAGGGGAGGGCCGGGGATTTAGCTCAGTGGTGCTACCGCCTGCCTTGCAAGCGCAAGGTCCCGAGTTCGATCTCTGGTACCAAAAAAAAAAAAAAAAAAGAATAATAGGGGGAAGTGTAGGCAAAGGTAGCTTACCTTGAAGTCACTGTGGTTAGACCCAAAACTGAGCCTGCCCATGTTCTCCAGCAAGACATCCAGTTGGGTTCCTATTTTCCCCATCAAAAATAGTTTCTGTTTCATATTTCGTTCCAGAACACCCTGGAACACCTGTGGATAAGAGATAGGATCTGTGAAAGGAAAAGCTTAGCATCTAGCTCTTGGCCATTATACATAGAGCCGTATTAGAACAGTTACTCAGAGGGCAAGAAGAGTGTAGCCATCTTTCATTTACCCCTCCATTCTGGAATTCTGTACTTAATCAAACTCTTCCTCATTCCAGATTATAACCCTGAACCTTCTACAGATGTAAGCAGGCATGGGGAAAGGGTAGAGATGGAGAACTTAAGGCCATAGGGTACTGGGGGAAAGGAAGGAAACTAGGGCTTACAAGTTAGCCTGGAATTAGGTTCTCACCCCATCCACCATCACATAGGCACGGTCATGAACTCCATTATTTGGCACCCAGAATGGTGTTGGCTCAAGAACTGTGTAACGCAGATAGGTCCGGTATAGCACAAAGCCATGGTCCTGGGTATGGAAGGATGAATAAGACATTGTGGAGAAGATTGGTAGCTAGAAGGAACTGCATCTGTTCTAGGAATCTGCCTTTCCTATTGGATATAGGTTTCTGCCTTACCTGCTTTATAGCCTCAAAGGTCATTGGCAAGACTGAATGGATAGGTCCCTGGGGGCAGAGAGCATCTAGAAAAGTCAGCAGATCTCCATCCTATTAGAAAGGGGCAAGAATCAGAATAAGGAGTTTCTGGATTGAGGGCAGGACAGGGTAGGCTATTTAGAGTAAAAGCATAGTCAGTAAAGATGGAGAGAAACTTACCTGGTACAGGGTCAAAGATCCAAGCGCCATCTTGGGACCGGGGGGAGGTAAAGGTCCCAAGGGAATTTCCTGGAACTGAACCCAGATTGTCTCAGTGGCCATAGGAAAACCACAGAAACAACCCCTATTCCAAAGCCCCTACAGCAAGGTTCTTTTTTAGTGGTAGTAAAGATGGAACACAGGGCCACACAGTAAGTTACATCCTGAGCCATTCATTCATTCGTTCATTCATTCATTGCAGTGCTGGTGATTAAACACTAAACTACACCCCCAGCATCCCTCATTTTAAAAAACTTTTTGAGATAGTGTCTTGCTAAATAACATTGCCCAGTTGGGCTTGAACTTACAGTCTTCTCACCTCAGCTTCCACAGTGCTGGCACAATGTATGCCACCATTCCTGGCTTTGTTTTTCATTTTGAGACAAGGTCTTAATAAGTTAAGCTGGGCTTGAATTTGAGATCCTCCTGCTGCAGCCTCCCAAACACTGGGATTACAAGCATATACCACCACACTCAGCTACAGCAAGTTTCTTATCCTGGGGCTCAGGGAAGGGCTTTGGGGATCATGAAGACCCTATAACTTTGCACATATGTGTATAACTCCCCATATAGTCCCATTTGAATAAATAGTAAATGCTTCCATGGGATGCTCAAAGGGCTCTGGTCCAGACAGCCACCACCAATTTATGAGATCCCTTTACAATCTGGGCACTCCCTTCTCCAAAATTAATAAAAGGGGGCACCTTGCTGATGACATTTCGAAGAGCAAAAAGCTTAGGTGTGGGGTCCCCTGCTTCAGATAGAGGTGCGTCATAGTCATAGCTGGTAGTGATTGGAAGGAAGCGACCCTTCTCATCAGCACCTGGGGTAGAACCAATTTTATTAATTCATTATATGTATTAGATGATACGCACTAAGCAAAGAATTTCATGCAGTGGATCATGCCATCAGAGGGACACTGCTGGTCATACCCAGCTTTTAGACATGCTAATCCATCCAGTCCTTAGATCTAATGCCATGTTATCTCACTGCTTCTGCCCCAGGGACCACCTGTACTCACCATTCCAGAATCCAAAGTTGGTCCCTCCATGGAACATATACCTGGAGTGGGGGGAGGGGGGGGGAAGCTGACCCAGTGAATCTTTAACATTCATACCCAATTCCAAGTAACACTCATATTGTGTATCCAGTTACATGTTCACGCTGGCTCCCAGCTTGAGCATGTTTTCTAGTCCTTTGGTTACTGCTAGAATGGACCGGGTGGAATGATTGTGACCCCAGTAATCCAGCCAGCCTGTGTAGTACTCAGAATTCACCTACAGTGTGAAATGGAAGGAACCATGTATGAGGTGGGAACCAAGCTGAATCCATTCCCATCCCAACTCTTGCTTTGTTTCCCTTCCCCTGTGGTCTCTCACCAGTGGCCCACGGGGTTCATACTTCCGAAGCAGGCTAAAGATTTTGGTCATGTTGTCAACTGCAGAGAGGAGGCAAGGGTAGAAGATAAATACTACAGAAAAGTTGCCCTTCCCAAGGCTCCATTATTATCCCTTGTTTAGCAGACCTGGACCAAAATCTACAGTGGTATAGAGTTCTGGGAGGGAGCCACATTTGAGTCCTTCCGGCCCATCTGTAGTGAAGAGCAAGATCTTATCTCCTAGTAGGGCCCGGAAGAGCCCAGCCAAATGTCTCATGTAGCTGACGTCGCAGGCCTTGTAGCTACCGTATTCATTCTCCACCTGCCAGAAGAAAGGGAATGCAAGCCCAGCTATGAGGTGGAGAAGGATAAGGCCCCCTCACACCTCCTTCCCTTGCCAGTCAACTTCTCACTGTACCTGAATGCTAATGATGTTGCCCCCATTGTGGTAGAGAAATGGATATATCTTGGGCAGCAAGACATTGAACCAGGAGTCCACTGCAGCAAGAAAGTCTAAAGGAAGGAGCAGCACTCTCCTCAGCAGGGGCCCCTCTGCCTCTGCAGGCCCCGCCCCCAGCAACTTCAGTGCTGCTCTTACTCTAGGCTGCAGCTTCCACCCCACTTGCCCATAACTCTGGGAAACAGTAACTCGTAGAAGAAACTCTCAACCCTGAACACTTAGAAATTTGCATATCAATGGTGTTTGAACATAGGATTTAATATTCCTTAAAAATATAAGAGCTGGACATGGTTGCACAATCCAGCTACTCAGGAGGACTGTGAGTTCAAGGCCAGCCTGGACTACATTGTAAGAGACTGTCTCAAAAACTCACAATCTGTCTCTGTCTCTCTTTCTCATACATACTATCAGGAATGGTGGCACACACCTATAATCCCAGCCACTCAGGAGAACTGCAAGTTTGAGGCCAGCCTGGGCCATTTAATGAGACTGTCTCAGAATAAAAAGGGCTGGGGATCTAGTTCAGTGCTTCCTGAATTCAATCTCCAGCCCTGTCTCCCCCTCCCCCAAGAAAAACCACATAAGAAAAAGGCTAATCACATAGTAGAGTTACTATTGTAATCAACTTTTACCTGTGATATACCATGGGAACTCATAAGTAGAGTGTCTGACTTGCACCCTGAAGGAACTAACAGTCCATCCAAGTAGTTTAAGTCAGCAATTAAGGCATCATGCCTTAAATCTTCAACTCCTACTTGTGATTTCTGTGGTTTGCCCTCAAGGTCTTCGTGCATGTTATTTCCTCTGACATTTTTCTTCCTATCTGCCTATATTTAGCCAGTTCCAACTCATGCATCAGTTCTTAATTTATATTTCATTTCCCCATGAAAACTTCTGATAGATTAGGATAGCTCCATCTGTGTTACATACTCTCACATTATCTCACACTTCTCTCTTAGGTACTTAAATTATAATCGAGCATCTGTGCCTGTGACTGCTTCTTGCTAATTTCTTCCACTGGTGAGCAGGAAGCTTGTGTGGCAGGTTCACGTGCTGCATCCCTGTCATGCAGGACAAAACCTAGCAGACAGCTGACTCTTGAAGGTGCAGTCAATAAGATTCTTTAGAGGTGCTTTTCAATTCTTACATCTTTTTATATGAACTTTTCTCTTTTTTTTTTGGTACTGGGGATTGAACTCAGAACCTTGTGCTTGCAAGGAAGGCAGCGGAACCACTGAGCTAAATCTCCAGCATTCTTACATAATTTTTTGTATTTTTACTTCACTTTTTGCGACAGGGCCTCACTATGTAGCCCAGGCTGGCTTCAAACTCACTGTGATCCTCCTACTGCCGGGTGCTAGGACTACAGGTGTGTGCCACCATGCCCAGCTTGTACTGCCTCTTGTACTGTACATACATTTTTTAAATGTTTATTTTAATTAGTACATTTGCAGTACATGATTACATTCATCTTGGGGAGCTGATGCATGTGCATAACACATCTTAATCTTTTTTATGCCTGCCCCCTCTCTTGATCTCATTCCCATTAATCCAAACATTTTAAATCACACTGATTCATTCAACAGATACTTATAGATGCTGACCATACACCAAGCACTGTTCTAGGTGTTAGGGATGATAAAGATCTCTGGCTTTGTGGAGTTTCCTTTCTAGTGATGGAGGGAGGCAATAAATTAAATAAGCGGAAATATAGAGTGTCCTTAGTGCCAAGAATAAGGCAGGGAAGGAGATATAAAATGGTAGAGTGGGGAACCTTAAAGTTTAGAGGGTGGTCGGGGAGCCTGGCTGAGGTCGTTTCTGCAGAGAGATGAAGGGAGCTCTGCATGCAGAGGCCTCAGACCCAGAGGCTGGTAGGCTTGAAGAAGAGCAACGAGGCAACTGTGGTGCTGGCTGGGGCAGAGCAAACAAGGGGTTGAGGGATGGATATCAGGGAGATAACTGGGGCCAATTCTGTAGGACCTGGTAGACTATTTTAAGGGATCCATGGTTCATATTCTGAATGAGAACCTACTGGAGAGGCTGAAGCAGAGAAACGACATGATCTGAGATATCTACTAAACTTCTGTTTTAACAGAATCACACTGCCACATTGACTGCTGTATTGAGAAGAGTACATGGGAGAGAGGGCAAACAAGGAATCCAATTAGGAAGCTATTATGATTAGCGAGGCGAGAGGCAGTTTGCAGCAGAGGAGTGATAGAAAATGGTTCAATTTAATGCTGTTGGGAGTAAAGCTGAGGTGATTTTCTGATGGTCTGAATGCAATGTGAGGGAACATGGAGTGAGGGATTATACCACAGTATCCAAGCTGGTCATCTGGAAGATGGACTTGCCCTTAACTAAGTTGGGGAGATTGTAGGAATAGCTGGTTTGGGAGGCAATACCAGCAGGTTGGTTGTATCATTTTGCCTTTTATTTGTTCAAATGGAACACAGGCAGTCCAGTACATGCATTGGACCCACGGGAAAAGACCTGGACATAGAGGTGCATATTTAGGGGTCATTAGCTATTAAATGGATTTTAATTCCATCATGCAAATGGATGAGATCACTTAGGTAATGAGGATGGAAAGGAGAAGTATCCAGGGACTAAGCACTGACACTCTAGCACTTAGAGGAAAGGAAAATAGAAAAGGACCAGTAAGACACTGAGATTGAGTGGTCAAAAAGATTGAAGAAGGGGTACAGAGACTAGGTAAGAGAGACAATGAAGAAGAGAGAAGAGCCCATTTCAAAAGACAAGATGAGGCTGGGCATGGTGGCACACATGTGTAAGTTCCAGCATTCAGGAGGCTGTGGCAGGATGATTGAGGTGAATTTGAGGCCAGCTTGGGCTACATAGTGAGTTCAAAATCAGCCTGAACTACATAGCCAGATCCTTTCTCAAAAAAAAAAAAAAAAGACAACAGGTGAGGGTGATCTAGCTCTTGTCACCCCACTGATCACCAGGGTTGATTTGGCTGATCTGGCTGGCTTGGCAGACGTTCCCTTCCTCCTTCACCACTCCGTGTCCCCTTCCAAAGCTGGTGCTCAGTGGAAGAGAATGCCCCTCCCCAATAGAGAAGAACTGCTCTTTAGTCAAGTGTATACCAGTAGCTGCACTCCCCTGCTAGAACCTCCAAACTCAAAGGACAGAGAAACCAACCAGCTGTGCTGAGTGCTACAAGCTGGGCTGGTCTAGGAGGATGAGGCCTGGGAAGTCCCCATGGATTTTACAAGGAGCTTGCTGATTGTCTTGAGCTAAACAGAAACTGCATTTTGGTGTTTCAGTCATGTTGAGGACTAGGCTATGAACTCAGATCTCTATTTTGCCTAGGCAACAGGGACATATGTGGAAGGCCGAATGCCTCCTGGCTATGGGCAGAATGCCAGCACTCCTGAGGCAAGACAGCATCTGCTGAGGACAGATGTCAATATACAGGCATTTGGGTGTAGAGAAAATCTGTTTCCTCATTAACTCAACGCTTATCCTTGCATTCTTTAGAGTGGCTGTTCCATGAAACATATGCTACTCCTTCCTCTGCGCTTCTCACTGGCTGATAAAAGCAGGCCAACCATGGAGTTTTATTCGTTTGTCCACTAGAGGCAGGTCTCCTCCTGGATCCCCGTTATATCTTGAAAATTGTCTCTGTCGTTTTCTTTGTATTCATCATTCCCCCCGAAAAGGTAGCCGAAGGTCTGATCAGCCCTCAGTACAGCCATATTTTACCACTGTCATGTTTCATAGTCAACCAGGGTTGGAAAGTGCTGTAAGGGACACAAAACTCTCTAGCACCCTCAGTTGTTCGTCTGTACCCCTAGTGTCCTCTACCCAGGTCAGTAAATATGGCCACCATCTGGACAGAAACTTGATCCCTTTCATTCTTATCCTGCCCTTTCTAATCTTATAAAACCCTACCTCTCACCTTCCAATCAAAGTCTACCAACAAGTCCTGGTGATTTTTTTTTTTAAATCTCCAAACCATCTCTCAATTCCAGCTTCTTTTTCATTTCCACTCCCATCACCTTGCTCCAGGCACTGTCATATCTGTTCTCAGCTACAGTAATACTCTCAGTTCTCCACCCTTGACCCCTTCAATCCATTCTCCACACCCAGGGTAAAGTAATAATAAAACAAATCAGGTTATGTCACACCTCTGGATAAATATTTTCAGTGGCTTTCTACTGTATCTGGAAAAACTACAACCCCATATAATGTCCTACACCAATCGTCTATCTCAACTCCAATTTCATATTACTGTCTCCCTTATCCAGCCTCGACGGTCTGCATTCCTAAATCCTGCCATGTCCTTTCCCATCTCTGGGCTGAAATGTTCTTGCCTCACTCTTCATATGACCAATGCTTTTTCTTCCCTAGAAGTCCTATGAAATGTCACCTTCTCAGAAAAGCCTTTAATGACAGCACTATCACAAAGATGCTCCTCTCTTACTCAGGTCCTTATTTATATATTTTTTTGTATAGTATGTTTACAGGCTGTAGTGTGTGTATGTGTGTGTGTGTGTGTGTGTGAGTATAGCATTAGGGATTGAATCCAGGACCTTTATTCTTTATTGATTGATTGATTGATTGACAGGGTCTTGCTTTGAACTCATTATGCAGCCAAGGCTGGTCTTGAACTCACAGCAATCTTCCTGCCTCAGCCTCCTGAGTGCTGGGATTATAGGTGTGCCTGCAATTTTTTAAAAAAAATTTTGGTCAGGTATCACTAACTTGCTTAGGCTGGCCTTGAACTTGAGATCCTCCTGCCTCAGCCTATGAGGGTAGTGGGAATTCAAGTGTATGCCACCACGCCTGGCTACAGTTTGTAATCTTTTTATAGTTTTTTTTTTTTTTTTTTGTCTTATCCATTGTATTATAAGGCCCACTGCACAGGGCTTAGGTCTGTCTGGTCCCAGTTTCTAACATCCTGCTAGGCAAGAAGGAAACAATAATAAATGTTTCAGTGAATGATCTCCAAGTTGAGGATGGTCTTTTCTGGTTGGAGCACCCAAATGACCAATCTTTTTGTTGTGTGCTTTTTTTGCATGTGAAATCCTTTGTCTCAACCCACCTGGATCTGAGGTTCTCAGATGAATTTTAGGTTTTCGAAGCAACCAGGATGGAAGACCCCCCTGAAACAAACACAAAGACCTCAAAGGAGCATATAGGCTTTGTTGTTTTAGGGGTGCAGTGAGGAGTTAAGAAGGCAGAGAATTGAGCATAGTGCTGGAAATGGCCCTGGAGTATAGAGTAACGAGAGAAACAAACCACCGCGGGTGTCTTTGATTCAGCCCCTTCTCCTACCAACTCACCATCTCCCACTCTGCACAGATGTAAGGTCCTGGTCTCAGTATGACCAACAGGTTTGCTAGAGTAGCCTCATGCAGAAAGGCAGGGAGGTCGCGGCTGCCTTTAAAATTATAAACCCCAGGCTGTGGCTCGTGGTAGTTCCAGGGCACGTAACTGAGAAAGGAAGAGGTTAACAGGGCCCGAGGTGGGAAGATGCCAGGTGGGGCCCCAGGAGCTCGGCTTGCAGGGAATCTCCAGGAAGCAGCGGGAAGGAGGTTCTGGCCCTCCCTCCCCCACTCTTGGCCCAGGAGCCTTGGCGTTCCAACCCTCTTCAGAGCTAGTCTCCCAGCCCATATCCATTTCCTAGGGGGGCGGTGGGAGTAAATCCCGCCCCTTCAAGTCTCGCGCGAGCACTTCTTACAGCTGTACGGCGTTGAGGCCGCTCAATCGCATTTTAAAAAGCCGGTCTGCCCAAAGCACCCGCGGGACTCGAAAGTAGTGCAGACTGCCAGACACATAGCGGAACGGGACCCCGTCCAACAGGAACCTGTCATGTTCCCAATCTACTACGAACGACCGAGCGTCTGCCTGCAAAGCAAAGAGTCTATGGTCAGCAGAGTTCTGTGGTGAAGGGTCTGCGTCCACCAGGAGCCGAAGAGATGCTCGGCTGGCTGCTTGGTGGTTGACCTTCTCTCAGCTGCCCGAACTGTTCCCGCCTCACCCGGCCAGGTAGTACAGCCCTCTCTCATCGTACCTGGGGCAGCAGGAGGGTGAGGAGCGGCAACAGCAAGGAGACAAGGCAGGGCGGTTTCTTGCGAGCCATGGCGCTTATAGAGCTCCTCTCCTCTGAGCCGACGGTCCGACCGTCACGTGTCAGATTCCTGAGAGGGAACCTCAGCAAAAAAGGGGGCGGAGACCACCTCAAGTTTCTAGGCGGTTAGCCGGGACTTTGTTTCCAGTCTGCGGCCACTCTCTAGTCTAGTCGTTTTAAAAATCTTTTATATATTGCTACTCAAAGTGCAGTTCACCACCTGGCTCTATCAGCATGATCTGGGAGCTTGTTAGAAATGCAGAATCTCAGGTCCTACTTCAGATCTATAGAATCAGAATTTGTATTTTAACAGATTCTCAGGCGAGCCTGAGCACGTTCAAGATTGAGAAGCTTTGTTAGGTTGAGCTCCCTGAGGGCGGGAGGTGCTTTGTCCTTGAATTCTCCCGCATTTAGCACAGGGCCTGGCACACAGCAGGTTAAATCTAAATGACTGAATGTCAGAACCAAGGGCCAAAATAGGCTCAGAACCAGGGGAATCTGCAGGAAAATATTCATGGTGATAGGTATGTGGAAGAGGGGGCAAGCCACAACGGATCTTTTTTCTTGGAATGCTCTGTTTCAGCAAAATAGCCCATCCTGGACATTCTATTTTCTTTGGAGATTCACCCTTCAATTTATCCCTAAGAAATGTCAAGGACAATTGCTTGGTTTCCAGGCTTGAGGATTGTGAATTTCCATCCCTCCATCCCTCCTGCTTTCACAGTCCCAAGGATCAGGGTAAGAAGTGATGACTGTTATTCCTTTTATTGACAGTTATGGAGGGTTTTGTGTCACATAGTGTGCTAAGCACTTTACACCTCATTTAATCTTCAAACTACTCCATGGAATAATTATTCTCATTTTAGAGAGGGGGAAACTGAAGGATGAAAATACTAAGTAGCCTATAGTGTAACTACTTATTTAATAGAGCTGGGATTTGGATCTAATCAAGTTTGGCTTTATTTTTTTGAGACAGTCTCACTTTGTAGTTCAGACTGGCCTTGAACTCACTATGTAGCCCATGCTAGGCTCAAACCCACAGCGATCCTGCTGCCTCATGCTCCCAGTGCTGGGATTATAGGCTTGCACCACCACGTTTTGCTCAGTCTGGTCCTAAGATTCATGCATTTAACCTTAGGTACTAGTATGTCTGTTTTACAGCAAGGAAAAGTGAAGATTTTAAAGGTTAAGTAACTTAAGGGAGGTCACACGGGTGGAAGGGACTTAGGACCACATTTAGAAAGTGGCAGACTGGTTCAAGAATCTGAACTCAACCACTGACGCCAGGGCCCTGAAGGCGGTACAAGTGGTACTCTCAAAGTCCAGGACGCCAGCCCCGGTCCTCCCTACGCAGAAGGTATGAGGCCTTCTACCTCCGACATTGGGAGATGGAGGTCGTGGGGGCTTCAGACCTAGCCCTGCTTTGCTCCCCTTTGGCTCAAGTGCCTGAGTTTTGACCCGTACTGAAGGCCAAGTGGGGAACCCTAACCTGGGTCCTGGGACCCGTCCACCCCCAGGTCTAGCCCGCCCCTGGCTTCTTCACTCTGCTAGCCCACATCCTCCAGCTGCTTAGCAGTTGCTAGGATACGGGGGGCCGTTACTGCGGCGCGGACTGATGATGTAAACGCGGCTTCCGGTCCCTGGAGCGTCGCTTCGGCTGAAGCCTGGTCAGTGGGTCGTCTTGGCTGGCGGACCCTTCCTGAACGCCTCGAGGCGTAGGGTGTTTTCTGTCAGAGGTGGGCTTGAGCCTCGAGCCTCCTCTGGAGCTACCTTGTGCCTTGCCTTTGAGGTCTGACAGTGGGAGCGGGGCCCGCCCAAAGGTGGGCCGGGGTGGAAGGAAGCTGCCAGGTAGTGGCAGCATGGCCTGAGGCTTTGAGGAAACTGATTCCAGCCTTCTTGGAGCAGACGTTGCCAGGGCTTATTTTCTTTAGACGGTACTCTGGGTTCTCAGACCTGAGCTTGAGCTCTCCCTATTGGTACTTAAGGGGCCATCTGGATTGTGCCAGACCTGTGACTTGCCGTTGCTTTCTTCCTAGCATGATCCGCTGGGTCCCCAGTGCATCTCCTGGAACAGCCCACTCACCCTGGACGCCAAGGATTGTCCTTGAGGAGGATGCATGAGACATTATGGGCCATGCGCTGTGTGTCTGCTCTCGGGGAACTGTCATTATTGACAATAAGCGTTACCTGTTCATCCAGAAACTTGGGGAGGGGTGAGTGTTTGGAAATCATTTAGCTAGCCCCAAGGATTATGGTCATTGAGGGACAATACTCTGTGCATGATAGGGGCACAAGGGTTTTGTCCCTGTCTTCTGCCTCATCTGACAGAACCTTAGCTGAGTGGTCAAGAAAGTGGATCCTGGGGCCAGGGATTTAGCTCAGTGGGACTGGTGCCTGCCTGGCAAGTGCAGGATCCTGAGTTAGAGCCCCAGTACCGAACAAAACAAAACAAAAAAGTGGATTCTGGACCCAGGCCTCCTAGAGCCACCTTGTATGACCTTGGTGAGCCATGGTTTGTTCATCTGCTTAATGAAGATGATTATCATGTCTCATTGATGGGTTGTGAAGATTAAATGAGATAATATACAAAAATGTCTCATTCAGTGACTGGTTCATAAGCACTTGAGAAATGTTAGCCATCTATTTAATATTTATTGAGCATCTGTTGTGCAGAGCATTAAGACCATAGGACCTCAAATATTTTTGTGTCCTTGCCCTTGAGGAGCTCAAACTAATCTTCAGACTTCCTTAGAGCCTTATCTTGGGAGGGTTTTTGCTCAGTTTGAGAAGCACTCACCCTTCGGGAATTTCTCTGGGTCCAAGCCATGTGGGAGATGGTCGTGGTCCTTACTGACTACCCCTTTGGCCCACAGTGGGTTCAGCTATGTGGACCTAGTGGAGGGGTTACATGATGGACACTTCTATGCTCTGAAGCGAATCCTGTGTCACGAGCAGCAAGACCAGGAGGAGGCCCAGAGAGAAGCAGACATGCATCACCTCTTCTATCACCCCAATATCCTTCGCCTTGTGGCTTATTGTCTGAAAGAGCGGGGAGCAAAGCATGAGGCCTGGCTGCTTCTACCTTTCTACAAGGTCAGAAAGTCTCCTGGTTATGAAGGGGGTTGCAGTGGAGTCACCTACCAAAGGGTGTGTGAACAGTCAAGCATGTTAGAAAGCAGGTGCAATGTCCTGGCTCTGGCCATTTTGGTTTGGGGTTTAGAGGAGTCCAAGTAGGACTGGGGTTTGAGGTGTGTGTGGTGAAAGAGTTGATGGGGTTTGACACAAGGCACGTATCAGGCCTAGGGAGCAGAGGATTCAGAAACACTTCAATGTGGGGAAACTTGTATTGCAGAGAGGCACGCTGTGGAATGAGATAGAAAGGCTGAAGGACAAAGGCAACTTCCTGACTGAGGATCAAATCCTTTGGCTGCTGCTGGGTATCTGCAGAGGCCTTGAGGCCATTCATGCCAAAGGTTATGCCCACAGGTCAGTGGGAGGGCCCTGCATACTTGCTGGGGCCAAGAGGAAGAGCCTCACCAAGAGAACTGGGAGGTCTGTCTCTGCCTTCCTCTCAAAGCTCCCATGATTCTTTCACTCCCTGGGATTCCACCCTCCCCATCCTGGGATGTTTATGGATCATTTTCACTTCCCTCCAGGGACCTGAAGCCCACCAATATCTTGCTTGGAGATGAGGGGCAGCCAGTCTTAATGGACTTAGGCTCCATGAATCAAGCACGTATCCACGTAGAGGGTTCCCGACAGGCCCTGACCCTGCAGGTAAGAAAGTCTCCATGTTCCTTTGCTCATCTGTTCTCATCATCCTCAATTCCTTTCTGGTGCATTCCCTAGTTTGGTCACATGACTGTGGCTTGTATCCCACTTTTGCATTCTGGGGCCACCATTCCAGGACTGGGCAGCCCAGCGGTGCACCATTTCCTACCGTGCCCCGGAGCTCTTCTCTGTGCAGAGCCATTGTGTCATCGATGAGCGAACTGATGTCTGGGTGAGGAGCGTGGGGGTGGGAATCTGGGTGGGGAGCAGTACAGCTCTGTGCCTAGTGTGTAGAGGGGAGTAGGGCTTTGGTTTCTGTTGCACGGGGCCCCAGGAACCACGATATGTCCCCATACCCCTCAACTTCCTTCCTGGGAACTGTCACTGATTACTGTTCTCAGTTGCTCAGGAAGTAGTGTGGTCCCTGCCACTGAACTGGGTGGGTACAGCTTGGTGCTAAAGGTAGTGGCTAGACAAGGGCTGAGGCCTCTAGCTAACTGGCAGTTTTTCTGGGCCCTGGTGGTGCCATGTGGTGAAGATTGGCATGTCTTTGCTAATGTCTCATTTCACCACAGACGTAAAGGGAGAGATTTCACCTCTATTGGTCCCCTTCTAGGGACTAACCACGTTCTGCTCAGTCCCTAGGCTGTGTGCTTTATGCCATGATGTTTGGGGAAGGTCCTTATGACATGGTGTTCCAGAAGGGTGACAGTGTGGCTCTTGCTGTGCAGAACCAACTTGTCATCCCACAAAGTTCCAGGTGAGCAATAAGAGAAGCACCAAGTGGTTCACATTCTTCCCTAGGGTTAGCTGAGTCGGAGCCTTAGCAAGGAGCACAGGTGTCCTCCACTCACCTTGCCCTCCTTTCTCCATAGACATTCTTCAGCAATGCGGCAGCTGCTGGCTTCCATGATGACTGTGGACCCCCAGCAGCGCCCTCACATTCCTCTCCTTCTCAGTCAGTTGGAGGCTCAGCAGCCCTCAGCTCCTGGCCAGCACACTACCCAGATCTGAAGAAACTAGTGGCCGCCTTGGGAGGACCGCCCCTTGTGCCTTGGAAAGAGGCTCTCGTTTCTTGTTGGATCTCTGCCCGTTCTATCAGGACTGCTCTTACAGTTGGGGATGGAGGGTGGGGCCCATTTCTCTGTCCTGCTCCTCAGTCCTCTTCTGCTCTTACCCCCAGTGCCCAGTCAGTGGGCCTGACTGGGGCTGGCCCAGGGCGAAACTGAGAAAATGTGGTACATGGCTCTGAGCTGGACTGCTGGGCTCACATCATGTTCAGCTTCCAAATCTGGGAGCAGGAGAATAAAGTGAAAGCAGGTTACTGTGGATCTTAGTCTCAGTGTCTCTGGCGGGAGAGGAGAGGTGCAAGGGGCAAAGTCTGGTTGCCATTTCCAGGGGAACAGCCTGGGAAAAGGAACTGGTGGAGTTGGTATCATTCCATGTAAGGAGGCAGGTGTCCTGAGTAAGATCTGTCTGTTTAGCAGCTGGCAGTTGTAGCTTGTCTTAGTCAAAAACTTAAAGCTGCTCTGGCTTGAGCTGGCTTCAGCTTGTGCCAAGAATGGAGAGAAGGCCCCCTAAAAGTTCTTTCCTTTTTACACTCCCAAAGGTGAGTAGCTTAGTCACAGCAGCTCAGCCGGTTTGCCAGGCCAAGGGCCTTTGGGTGGAGACACCCGAGGAAGCTTTGGGACAGCTACATTGCAGGTCTCCCATCCTCAGCCTGGGGGGAGGAGGTGGAGCTGGCAGCCATTTTGGCAATGTCTCCCTGATTATTCTGGCTCACACATGATTAATAATTAACGAGGCTAGTGTGGTGTGGCAGTATTCCATAGCTACTTCCGGGCTGCTCTGCTGAGTAAACAGGGTCCCTGCTTTACTGGGCTTGAATGTTCCCTGGGGAAGGGCATTGTGTCCCTGAGTCACCGGGGAGGGGTAGCAAAGGCAGGTCTGGCATCTCCAGCTCCTGAGAGTGAAGCTTCCTCCCCCCAGTCATGCCCAACCAAGCTGACGTCAGTGTGGGTCCTAGGGTGCCTATTAGCAAAGTTGAATTTTTCCCCAGGGCCCTGGCAGGCGGTCCCACTAGCTAGCAAGGAGGCTGAGGCAAAAAGAAAGCACAGAGGGGAGACAACCTGACTTTTAATGGCGCACCCCCAGCCTCAGCAAAGCAGCAAGACAGACAATAAGCTATGCAAAGCCGAGAGCTGCAGTGGCACAAACAACTCTAGGAGATTGCCCTTTCCCATCCCCCAAGCTTATGACAGGGCTCTGTGCCCAGGAACTTCGGGCCAGCCCAGCCCCATTCCCAAGCCCTCAGTGCACAGCAGAACCTGGGCCAAGGCTTGTTCCAGAGTTGGTGAATGTAGAGGCAGCTGGACAAATAGGGTAGCCATCAAAATCTCCAATACAGAAACTACTGGACATAAACTCCTAGTTGGAAAGAACTGAAGACTTGTATCCTTTAATAATTTGTGGCTGGACAGATAGGTCCATGATTTGGTCCTCATTTCCTCCCTATCCTGGGTGTCCCTAAGGACCTGATATCAACGTCCCTCTGGTCATGCTTCCTGGGCCTGCCAAGAGCCCTTTGCAAGTCTCACCTACAGCCGTGGAATGGAAGAGGGTCATGAGCAGTATCTAGTGAGAGTAGCAGCAGCAGCAGAAAGGGGAAGACAGCAGAAGCTCAAGCACTCACAGAGGAATGAGAAACCGTGCAAGGAGACTGTTTATTTCAAAAGAATTTTGCAACAGACAGTGAACAGGCTCCAGGCAGCTGTTCTATTCTTCTCCCTCATCCTCATCCTCATAGGAGTCAATGCCCACTTCTTCGTAATCCTTCTCCAGGGCAGCCATATCCTCCCGGGCCTCTGAGAACTCACCCTCCTCCATGCCCTCTCCCACATACCAGTGTACAAAAGCCCTCTTCGCATACATCAGGTCGAACTTGTGGTCCAGGCGGGCCCAGGCCTCAGCAATGGCGGTCGTATTGCTCAGCATGCACACGGCACGCTGCACCTTGGCCAGGTCGCCCCCAGGCACCACCGTGGGCGGCTGGTAGTTGATACCAACCTTGAAGCCCGTGGGGCACCAGTCCACAAACTGGATGCTGCGCTTCGTCTTGATGGCAGCAATGGCGGCGTTGACATCCTTGGGCACCACGTCTCCGCGGTACAGCAGGCAGCAGGCCATGTACTTGCCGTGCCGGGGGTCACACTTCACCATCTGGTTGGCAGGCTCGAAGCAGGCATTGGTGATCTCTGCCACCGACAGCTGCTCGTGGTAGGCCTTCTCTGCGGAGATGACTGGCGCATAGGTGGCCAGGGGGAAGTGGATGCGAGGGTAGGGCACCAAGTTGGTCTGGAACTCTGTCAGGTCCACGTTGAGCGCCCCATCAAAGCGCAGGGAGGCGGTGATGGAAGAGACGATTTGGCTGATGAGGCGGTTGAGGTTGGTGTAGGTTGGGCGCTCGATGTCCAGGTTGCGGTGGCAGATGTCATAGATGGCTTCATTGTCCACCATGAAGGCACAGTCTGAGTGCTCCAGGGTGGTGTGGGTGGTCAGGATGGAGTTGTAGGGCTCGACCACAGCGGTGGACACCTGGGGGGCTGGGTAGATGGAGAACTCCAGCTTGGATTTCTTGCCATAGTCAACAGAGAGCCGCTCCATCAGGAGGGAGGTGAAGCCAGAGCCGGTGCCCCCTCCAAAGCTATGGAATACCAGGAAGCCCTGAAGTCCTGTGCACTGGTCAGACTGAAAGGCAAGAAAGAGAAAGAGCCATTGTCTGGGGCACGAGAAACTTTTCTAGCTCCATGTGCCCTGAAATATCTTGAAAGCTAGGGGTAAGCCTAGTGAGTAAATCACAGGGGAATCACATTCTGGAACATATAGCTAGAGATGACCTCTTGAAAAAAGCTTTTCCCTGACCATTTTTTTAGTCTCAAATGCTCCTTCCTTTCCATGCCAAATTCTCACCAGTTTGCGGATCCGGTCCAGCACAGGGTCGATGATCTCCTTGCCAATGGTGTAGTGGCCACGGGCATAGTTGTTAGCGGCATCTTCTTTCCCAGTGATGAGCTGCTCTGGGTGGAAGAGCTGTCGATATGGGCCATTTCGGATCTCATCTGGAAGACATAAACCATACTGTTGGGCAAAAACCACAAGGCTGTGCTCAGCAAGGACCTTCCTGCCCCCAGGGTGATATCTGCTGCCAGAAATATGGAAGAGCTAGCTCATCCTTCTGCCAGCCTGAGATACCAGAGTGGGAGAAACTCAGACCTGCTGTGGCCTACGCCAGCCTGAGATCAGCTTGCCTTCTTTATCTTCAGATAGGGCTAGGAGGTTTTCAGGGCCCGGAAGGCAAGTCTAGGTACCCTCTCTCCCGTCCTTCAAATTTGCCCCTCTTCTACTCACCAATTACAGTGGGTTCCAGATCCACAAAAACTGCCCGAGGCACATGTTTTCCAGCACCAGTTTCACAGAAGAAGGTGGTGAAGGAGTCATCCCCTCCACCAATGGTCTTGTCACTGGGCATCTGTCCATCAGGTTGGATCCCATGTTCCAGGCAGTAGAGCTCCCAGCAGGCATTGCCCATCTGGACCCCTGCCTGCCCCACATGGACTGAGATGCATTCACGCTGAGGGACAGAGAAGGGTCACAGCATAAGGGCCACATCTACAAGTACCTACCTATCTCATGAGCCTCTCTCCCACTTTATGAACTACCAGCTAGGATGACTCAGTTGGCAAGAGGAGAGGCTTCAAGCTGGCAGGGTCAGAGGAGGCTGGCAGCCTCCCCAGCTCCCTTGCACAGGAAGAAGCACCCAGTAGGGCAGGCCAATCCCTTAGCCTATTTCTCAGTGGTGAGTTTGTCCAGCGAGAGCTGTGGCTGCGCATGACCCTGCCACATTCACAGGACACTGGGAGGACAGAGAGGGCACGTGGGTATGAGACAGGCAGACACGGCCGTAACCCAGGAGGGAAGAGACTTTCCAGCTGCTCCTAATCCTACAGCCCACACACCCAGCTTCTTGAGAGCCTAAGAGGCAGGTTTTCCAGTTTATATCCAGCCACAGGCCTTCCCCCTTGATTATTTGATGAAAAACAACTACGATTTGCCATAACCGTCTCCCCTTCATTCCCCTGAGTGAAGAGGTGTCTCTGCCTTCCCATCTGGCATCAGCTGACCACACTGGTCATCAGGATGCCCTCTCCCCCCACCTTTAAATCCCATCTGGCACTGGGGATCAATCCCATCTGGCTCCCCCTCTCCACCCCCGCATTCTGCCTGTCTTCACCACCTTCATCCACCGTGCCAGCCCCCACGGAAATAAGGATATTGCTGGTAACAGCAGACGGCAGGGCTGGCAGTGAGAAGTTGTGGGCCCTAGGAGCTCCCTGCCTTAGGCTCTGTCCCCACCAGTCCGAAATTAACCCCTGCAGCACCAAAGCCCGCAGGGCGGCGCCTCCCTACAACGAACTGGCACAGTGATGCTTTCCAAATTCAGAAAAGGAAGCGGAACTTGTGGTGAGGCCCCAGAGGTAACCCGCCTTGCCCGGGCCAAGGTGAGCGCCATCCTGCACCCGGGCCCTACATCCGCTCTCCTCTGGAGCCTTTCCAGTTACATCCCCAGCAGAAAACGGGGATTGGGTTTCGGCCCCGCTCTTGGGCTATAAATACCACCCCCCTACACACACCTCTTCCCCTCCCCCCAACCTGGCCTCGGCCCGCGCTGTCGCTCAGCGCCAGCTGTCTCTGCCTGTCCTCTACGCAAGTGCGCTCCCGCAGGAGTGGGGCCAGCTCGTCTCACGAGACCGAACCCCATTCCCGCCACCCCTCTCGGCTCAGAAGCGGGGTGCTGAGTCACTGGGGGGCTGTGGGTGGGAGGGACGAACACACACAGGAAAAGGGAATGTGGTACTAAGTAACCTGACCCCCTTCCACCTTCGGGCGCCACGCACGTGTTCGGTCAGTTTCAGGGACTCCTGGGGAAAGGGATGGGGGCATCCAAGCGGGTCTTTTTCCGCCCGCGCAAGGCACTGGGAGCCAGACCGCGTGACACCCCCCCCCCGCAAGAGGGCTGGGCACAAACGCTTAGGAGGGCAGAGGGGATTAGCAGGAGGGCTCCACTCCGCAAGTGAAGAACCCTCCACTCCCCTGTCCGTAGCTCCCAAAGGTGGACAACACACCAGGCCAAAGTCACTAGGAGAGGGTTGCGGGGTGCAAAACCTTTGCATCGCCTAGAGAACCTGAATCCTGGGTGGAGGGTCCCGAGCATTCCTGGAAGGAGATTCCCCACAAGGAGAGGGAGTTAGGGGTCGGGCGCGAACCCGGTGGAGTCGCACTCACCATGGTGAGTCCTGGTGGTGCGTCTCACGTTGAGTCGGGGTGACGGGTCTCGGTGAGAACTGCGCGAGCTGCAGTGCCGCACCCCTCTTATATGGGGGGGGCGGGCTCGCACACTCCGCTCGCCCACTCTGGGCTGGGCGCCCCGGAAGCCACGCCCCAACGCGTCCCCGAGGGGTGGGGCCTGTCCGGGTCCCCACCCCCCAACGCGGCCTGGGCTCTCACCTGTCTGCTTTGGGATAGGAGTAGCGACCTGGGCTTTAACCCTTCGTTCTGCGGTTGGAGCCGACACCCTCGGCTCCTGAGGTCCGAAGCGGGGACGCAGGGGCCGGTGACGGGGCGGGTCTCGCTTACACCTGCGTCATGGGAAGTGGGGCTGTCCAGGTGTTCTGATTTAGCCCGGGTGCTGCTGCAGCTGTCCTTCCAAAGTGGCTGCGGGTGGCCTTCCCTTGCGCCCTCCCAGCGCCGCGTCCCTGGAGTATCGGGCCGGCCGGCCGACTCGGGATGGTCGCCGGAGACCTCCTCCCAGCGGCGCGCCACCTGCTGGTCGTGGGCGGGAACCGCAGGCCTTCGCCCACGCCTGTGAGTGGCCTCGGATCTCGAGCCGCAGAGTCTGAGCCCCAGGGTGCCCATCCCTGACTCTCCCGCAGAGCGGAGCCGGGAAGCTACCGGGCCTCGCCGGCCGCCCACGGCTCTGCGGCCCCGTCATCGGCGCCGTCACTATTAGTGAGCCCTGGCCTGGCCACCTCGTCGCTATCCTGAGGTCAGAATCGCGGGGCGCTGGGCCTGGAGCCCTCAGGACCTGGAATCGAATTCCGAATGCGGTGGGCAACCTGGGTCAAGTTATATAATCGGAGTCCTCGCACTGCCAGCAGAAGTCCTTCCTTCATTTCACTTTTCATTTTCATTTCTTAAAGGGAGGGCCTTTTGAAGTTATTTCTGCTTCCCCTAACTTGTCTTACATTTTCTAACTCCTTCCCCTGGGGAAATTCGTGGGGCAGTAAACCTGTGCTAGTTACAGGTGCTGAGGAACCTGGCGCCCAGGCTAGTTATTACTTGGAAAAGTTGCATTTGCCTCTCCTCTCATCCTCTTTCCCCAGGACTGTTCTACACAACACCATAAACTAATTAGTACCCCCCCCCGCTTTTTTTTTGAGACAGGGTCTCACTATATAGTTCAAGCTGGACTTGAACTCACTATCCTGCCTCAGCCTCCCAAGTGCTGGAATTACAGGCATGCACCTCCACTTCCAACTTAGTGGCAACTTTCTATCAACTCATTGGCATTTGACTTAGGCAAGGCATAGAAAGAAATGCAGTGAGTGAAATGAAATATAACAAGGTCTTTCCTCCCAGTAGACTTGCCATCGGATTGGGAGAACAAAACTCATTCACAAGAAGAAAACAGACAAGGGCATACAGCAAGGCTACTCTGAGAAGTGGGGTCATGGTGTCTGTGGAGGAAGGAGCCCCTTGTAGCCCTTCCCTCATCCTGTTTTTCTCTTGCACACCCCCTTTTCAGAAGAATGAATATAGTAAGAGACCTGAGCTATTGTAGGCAAAACCCTAAACCTGTTGGGCTTCCCCTTGTGATCCAGCTGTGTAGTTCTTCATTTGCGAAACTGGGATAACAGCTTCAGATCATATGTAGAGATGAGTACACACACATAGCAAAGCACCAGTAAGTAGCTGCCTGGGCTGTCAGAGGATTTTGTTCACATTTACTTCAGTGTAGATCACACACTATGCTGTAATTATTTGTGCACATGTCTGTGTTACCAGACAGCACACTGCTGAAGATGCGAACTGTGTTGTGTTCAGCTTTGTGTCCTTAGTTGCTAGCATGGTGCTTAGCATACACAGTAAGCATCTGCTGGGCATGTATGGGGTAAATTGTTTCACTTCAGACATGGAGCTAAAATTAAGGTAGAACTCTAAGATGGAAGTGCAGATTGGCATCCTGGAGGGTAAAGTGCCTTGCAGAAATGTTTCCATTGCTCTTCAAATGTTAATAGTGTTTAGAACATGAAACAGTCAGGAATTACTGTGTTGGAGCCTTTCTGAGACCACCCCCATGTCAGGAGATTTGCTAGAAGACTCACAGGACCTACACAGAGTTGTGCTTTCAGCTAAGCTTTATTGCTTCGATGTAGGATGTACAAGTTCACACCAAGTATACTTTTCCTTCAAATTAAAGACACAGGCTGGGGATTTAGCTCAGTGGTTCCGGTGCCTGCCTCACAAGTGCAAGGTCCCGAGTTCAATCCCCGGTACCAAATAAATAAATAAATAAATAAAGACACAGCCACATTTCCCTGCAATGTTTCCCCCCAAGGAAGCCTGTTGGAGACTCAGTAGCTGACATTTACACTTGATCTTAGCCAAAAGGCCGAGAAGCGATAGCTGACATTTAACTGGAGGCTTGTTACATAGGCATCTCTGTCTAGTACAGACCAAAGTTCCAGATTCCTAGAAGAAAAGCAGGTGTTTGGCATACACCATGTTGTTTGGTTATCAATTAACTGTTGATTGGGAACATTCTAAGAACCAGGTTTCCAGACACCAGCCAAATGCCAACCCTATCAGGACAGTAGTCTCAGGCCTGCTCTGTTAACTCTTTTCTGTAGTCATATAAAATCCCAGATGTTGATTGTGACCTACACCTATGATCCCAGGTACTCAGGAGACTGATGCAGGAGGACCCCAAGTTGGAGGACAGCCTGGGCAACTTAGGAACTTAGTGAGACCCTGTCTCAAACTAAAAGAACAGTAAAATCTCTGGGTTGATCCCCAGCACCCCTCCCCAATAATTCCAGATGTCTAATCTATCTGGAAAAGAACTAGAAGTTCTGGTTGTACTAGGCCTGCATTCCCATTTACCAACTTAGGTGTCCACATTTTACTCCTTGGAACCTGTAGCTATGTTCCCGTACATGGCAAAAGAAGTTTGCAGATGTGTTTAAGGTGAGGATCTTGAGATTAGTCTGGACTATTGGGGTAGGCCCAAGGCCCTTTTTTTTTTTTAATGCTAGGAATGGACCCAGGGTCTTGTACACACTAGGCCAGCACTGTGCTGCTGAGCTGCACCCCTAGTCCCATAAGGGTCTGCAAATGTGAACGAGGGAAGGAGGAAGGTCAGAGTCGGTTGGAAACAGAGGTCAGAGTGACATGAGTGATGTGATTGTGGACTTGGAAGATCGCTAGAGGCCAGGAATTAGGAACGGCACCAGCTTCTAAAAGATGAAAAAGGCAAGGGACAGATCTCCTCCCCATGACTCTTCAGAGGGAAGGTAACCATGGAAACATCGTGATTTTTTTTTTCTTTAGCTCCCTAAAACCCATTTTTTACTTCTGACCATGAGTACTGTAAGATAATAAATTTGTGTTGTTTTAACCACTAAGTTTAAAGTAGCACTTCATTTAGCAGCATAAGAAACTAGTACATCAATAAATGCAGCTGATAGTGCTACCTTAGGATGAGCAGCAAGCTCCCTCCTGTTCGTTACAGTCCTTGTCATCTTAGTGTCTCCCTAACACTGAACCCAAGTGCTGGTTGCCATTTAACTTCATACATTCAGCCCATATCACACATTTCTGTTACCCTGGCCCCTGAGGTAGAAGTTTATAGCCTCCGAGCAGACCCTCTAAGGCATGCATGTTAGTGGAATACTAAGTTCTGAGTGTGAGTGAGTCTGTGTGTGTCTGTGTGTGTGCGTGCATGACCACGATATACATAGACATATAGATCTCCTGGATTAGGGCTGTAAGCTCTGGGTGACTATGAAGGTAATGATCCATACTACCAGAACCAATATTTTTAGACCTTCACAGACATGTGGAGACTCTAGATGAGGGGTCCCTGGACCATGGATGGATACTGGTCTGTGGCCTGTTAGGACCCAGGCTGTACAGTGGGCAGTGAGCAAGTGAAGCTATGTCTGTATTTATAGCCACTCCCCATGGCTCATATTACTGCCTGAGATCCACCATCTGTCAGATCAGCAGTGGCATTAGATTCTCCTAGGAGTGCGAACCCTGCTGTGGACTACACATGCATGTGCTAAGAATGTAGGTTGCATGTTCCTTTGAATCCTCCTAAAACCAACTCCCCTCCCCCATCTATGGGAAAATTATCTCCCATAAAACCAATCCCTGGTGCCAAAAAGGTTGGGGGCTGCTGCTCTGGAAGTCGATGTCCAGTGCTTTTTTCACCCTTTCATTAAAACACCACTTAGTACATCAACCCTATGTAGGTGTCTATCTGGCCACTGTCTCTTTGGGTGCCCCCTCTTCTCCTAACTCCTTGTCACTTCTGTCTTTTCTAAGCCCTTCCCAGGGTCTCATCTTCATTTTGGAGCAGGACAGGAAGGGCCTCAAAGTGTCAACTTTCTCCCGCCCGCCATCCGAGGGTGGAGATGTAGTCTTAGCCTTTATTGTTCAGCCTGTCCCAGTTGAAGCTTCTTCTGGCTGCCCTCTGTTTCATAGCATAACCTTTAAGGGGGTGGTCCTGTTGTCACCATCTCCACATCTTTGTTCCTCAACACTCTGGCAGACTCGGCTCATGTGCTGACTGAGATGCTCTTGCCAGGGTCTCTGGTGACTGCCATCTTGCCAGATCCACAAAGGCCACATCTCCATCTTCGTCTTTCTTGACTTCTCACAGCAGTGTTTGGCTGCTCCTTCCTCTCTGAAATTCTTTCTTTGTGGCTCCTGGTTTTTGTCCTGGCCACTCACTCATGGTGGTTTCTGATGGCTTACCTTAAACAGAGGTCTCTAAATTCTTTATTTCCTTATTTTTCTCCCCAAAGGACCAAATGTTGAAGCTCACTCAGTGATGAGTATATGGGATTCTAGGCTGTTGTCTCTCTCTACCTTGTGGCATATATTTAAATGTCCATAATAAAATGTTACTGTGATTCCCAGTATTCCAGAGGCGGAGGCAGGAGGATTGCTGTGAGTTCAAGGCCAGCCTGGGATATATGGTAAATTCAAGACTAACCTCACCTACAAAGCAAGAGCCTGTCTTGAAACAAACAAACAAACAAACAATTTGAGGCCAGTCTGGGTGACTTAGTAAGACTGTCTCCAAAAAATTTTTTTTTAAAGATAAACAGAGCTAGGAATGTACGTCAGTAGTACAGTCCTAGATTCGGTCCCAAGTATTGTGCATG